TGGTGTGTCTGAAGACGGCAGCAGTATACTCGTACACATAAAATAATTTTTTTCCTACATAAATTAAAAAAAAATTCATCCCTAAAGAAACAGATGATATCAGGTCTAAGGGGCATACAGACCACCAAACAGACATAGCCAGAAAAAGAGAATGCAACATATCAAAATGTCTGGGATACAACAAAAGTTAAGAGTTATGTTTATAGCCGGGCGGTGGTAGTGCTGTGGTGGCGCACGCCTTTAATCCCAGCACTTGGGAGGCAGAGGCAGGTGGATTTCTGAGTTCGAGGCTAGCCTGGTCTACAGAGTGAGTTCCAGGACAGCCAGGGCTACACAGAGAAATCCTGTCTCGGAAAAACCAAAAAAAAAGTAAGAATCACACAGCTATTAAAATCCCAGAGCGATAAATTCAGTGCAGAATTTTACTAGACCTTCAAAGAACTAACACAAAAACTCCTTTGCCTTTTCCACAAAATAGAAAAGGAAAAAATATTTTCAAATTCCTTTTATGAAGCCAGTTTTATCCACATACCAAAACCAGCCCCAATTTCCAACCCCCTCTTTCCCCCCCCAAAAAAGGGGGGGAAAATATAGACCAATCTCCCTGATGAAAATAGATTCTGAGATTCTCAGTAAAATATATGAAAATCTAATTGAAAAACATAAAAAAGAATACCCACCATGATCAAGTCAGCTTTGTTCCAGAGATGCAGGGATGAAGCAATATATGAAAATCAATAAATATAATCCAAAACATAGGAAGATGGATTGTGGCTACATGCAACTGGGGAGGGAGGGGTCTGGCCCGGAGAAAGACTGAGATTGAATCTCATCCTGAAACTGGCAGGGAGTCCAGCTCTCTTCCTGCTCTCAGCCTACATGCAAATAACCTCTACCTCCCCCACCTCTGAGGGCTGTCTATGGCCAGATTACAGTTCAGCTTCCTCTCTGTCACTAACAACCTGCCCAGCAGGTTCTTAAAACTTCCTCTTCATGTAAACAAAGCATTAGCACCTCGGCCCTAGCCAATAAGTCAGTCTGTCAGTACTCATGGCCCACAGTGGGTCATCTCACTGGACATAGAAAGGCCTTTGACAAAATTCAACATCCATTCATGATAAAAGTCCTAGAAGAATAGGGATACAGGGGATTATTTCAACATAAATGTGTAGCTGCTTGTATTACAAATACTAATTATGTTCCCCCAAAAACCTACTTACACGAGAGGGTCGTCTACACGTAGCCCCAAGTTGGTTCTGATTGGTAAATAAAGATGCCAACAGCTAATAGCTGGGGAGGACAGACAGAGGCAGGATTTTAGGTTTCCCGGGGTTGGGGCCAGGAGGAGGAGAGAGATCCACCATGCTGGAGTAGAGTGTGGACAGAGAAGAGACAAGTCTATCATGGAGTAGAAAAGCAAAGGAGGGGCCCAGACTCTTGGACCAAGAAAACATGGCCCAGAAGGTTGACTAACTGGAGTTAAGGGCAGCCAAGATGGAACATAAAATTAGTAAGTTTACTCAGGATTAGTAAAATTACTCAGGATTAACAGCACAGAGGTTAAGCAGTGGCCCAACTATTGTGCTGTTTAAGGAATATTAAATTATAAAGGCTGTGTGTGTTTCACTTGGGAACATAGACCTTTGGGGCTGGTAGTGACCCCAAGTTGGGATTTATTAATTAAATAATTAATACAACTTAAATACAATAGACAGGAAGCCTGAAACCAACACTATCCTAAACAGAGGAGAACTCAAGCATTTCTACTAAAATCAGGATCCGGACAAGAATATCTACTGTTCACCCTCTTGTTTTACATGAGGCTTGAAGTCTTAGAGCAGTAAGACAAGTGAAGGAAACTAAGAGTATACAAATGGGAAAGAAAGAAACCAGAATACCTTTGTTGAAGGAGGATGTGATTTTACATGTAAAGGACCCTACAGAGTCCACTGGAAAATTACAAGTGATACTGTCAGCAAAGTAGCAAAATACAAAACACTCAAAAATGAGTAGCCTTCCTATATACAAATATCAAACACACCAAGAGAGAGGTCAAGGAAATAACTCCATTCACAATGACCTCCAAAAATACCTTGAACAAATCTGAAGAAGTGAAAGGCCTGCACTATGAAACCTTTAAAAGGCTTGAATAAGATACCAGAGGATGAAAGACCTCCCATGTTAATAGATTAATGTTGTGGAAATGACCATTCTAGATTCTACCAAAAGCAATCTACAGATTCAACACAATCCCCATTAAAAATCCATTGCAGTTCTTCACAAAAATTGAAAAATGAATCTTAAATTTCATATGGAAACATAGAATTCAGGGCAGCCAAGACAATCGTAAACAAGAAAAAACTTGTGGAGGCACCACCATCCCAGATGTCAAGTTACATCACAGAGTCATGGTAATAAAAAACTGGCATGGTACTGGGCTAAAAACCAGACTCATTGATCAATGGGGTACAATCAAGGACCACATATTAACCTACACACCCACAGGGATTTAACAAAGATGCCAACAATACACATTAGAGAAAAGACAGCATCTTCAAAAAAGAGGGCAGGTCAAATGGTATAGCTACGTAAGACTTCATCCTTATCTCTTACCCTGCACAAAACTCAACTCCAGATGGATCAAGGGCTTAAACAAGACCTGACACCCTGAATCTGACAGAATGGAAAGTACACTTGAACTCATATGTACATGGAGGGACTTAATGACTATAGAAGCACAAGCATTGAGACCTTCTATTAATAAATGAGATGAAACTACACCATCACTTGAGTGAAGAGGCAGCCTATAAAATGGGGAAAAGATATTTACCAGTTACATGTCTGAGGATTAGAGTCTAGGATATACAAAGAAGTCAAAACAACTAAACATGAAGAAAAAAGAAAATAAAGGTATAAGGGGGCTGGAGAGATGGGTCAGTGGTTCTGAGCACTGACTGCTCTTGCAGAAGTCCTGAGTTCAATTCCCAGTAACCGCATGGTGGCTCACAACCATCTGTAATGGGATCTGATGCCCTCTTCTGATGTGTCTGAAGTCAGCTACAAGTACTCATATACATAAAATAAATCTTTTTTTTTTAAATGAGGTATGAAGCGAAAAAGTTCTCAAAGGACAAAATGATAATGTCAGAGAAACAGTTTTCTTCTGAAATTTAACAGCCTTAACCATCAGGGAAATGCAAATTAAAGCTACTTTGAGATTCCATCTTACTCAGAATGGCTAAGATTAAAAAATGAAAAATAAAACAACAAAAACCAATGACAGATGTGGGGGAAAAGGAAACAGTGCTGTTGAGAGTAAACTGGTGAAGTCACTATGCAAATCAGTGTGTAGACTCCTCAAAAAAACAAAGAACAACCACATGATCCTGATATAGCACTCTGATATATATACCTCCTACTATGGAGATACACGGGGCTCTACTCACAATAGCTAAGAAATAAAAGCCTGGATGTCCATCCACTGAGAACAGATAAAGATGATGAAGTGTATTTACACAATGGAATATCATTCACCTGTTAAGAAACGTGAAATGAAGCCAGGCAGTGGTGGCGCACGCCTTTCATCCCAGCACTTGGGAGGCAGAGGCAGGTGGATTTCTGAGTTCGAGGCCAGCCTGGTCTACAGAGTGAGTTCCAGGACAGCCAGGGCTATACAGAGAAACCCTGTCTTGAAAAAACAAAACATGGGAAAGTGGGTGAAGCTAGAAACAACCATCCTGAGGTAACCTAGATGCAGAAAGACAAGCATCAAGTTTCCTTTCATTTTTAAGTGTTAGCTTGGAACTCTCAGATAGGTGTGTTTTGTTTGAAATTACTCATGGAGGTCAGGAAATTACCACAGGGAGAGATTTCCCAAGGAGGAAGATAGGGCACAGAAGTGTAAAGGGTTAATGGAGAATAACAGGAGAGTTAAATTGGGGGAAGGGAAGGGAGGGCAGAGTAAAGGAGGGACTGTACGGATGGATAAATAACATTAAAAGATGTTGGGGAAAAGCATGGAAGTAACCACTCTTTGGTTGGCTCTAAGTCTCACTCCACTGTACCATTGTAGGTGTTAGTATTCAGGGCCAAGCCTTACAGGGTAATCACCACTATTATTCCCCTACATGGACATAGTATTAAACGGACTTCTGATGACATATCACTATACCCATAGATTAATGTGTCTTCCAGCCCTCAGAAGCTTCTATTTGCAGTAGATTGTGATTAACACAGAAACCCATACTGGCCAAGGTGCCCGGCCACAAATGGAACACAAATACCTCACCCTCTCCTCCCGAGACTCAGGGATCACTTCGGAAGAGGAGGTAGCATAAGTATGGGAACCAGGGCTGGTGAAAGACCCCAAGGAACCAGTGTCTCCTGGACACAGCAGGGCAGCTGTGAACACACAGCTGATGTCACATCATGCTCAAGATCTGTGCAAGCTCCATAAACCAAATCCCGGCGAGGAAAGGGGAGCTGGGCACCAAGTATGTCCCACGCTAGCTAAGGAGCTAGAGGCAGTTTTTAGCTAACGGGAGAGGGAACTCTGTTTCCTGTAGTCCTTGGTAAGTTGACCACGCTCTCCGGGTGGAAGATCACAACATACAAGGATATCTGGGATTCACAAGTCCGTTTTGATGGATTTAAAAAAAAAAAAAAAAAAAAAAGGACACAAAGTTGGACGGGTAGGAAGGTGAGGAATGGCTCTAGAGTTGGGATGTGTGTGCATATGATCAAAATACACTGCAGAAAAAAACTTAAAAAACAGAACAAAAACCACAACCCGGATGCTTCCGATGCTCTTTGTTGGCCTCTGAGGTGGCTGTGCAGTCAGGCAGCCAGTCTTTTCTAGCTCCTGCCAGAGTTCCTGGGAGAATTCGGGGGGGGGGGGTGCTCAGCGTCCCTTGCCTGCTTCCAAGCTGGGAACATTGGCTTCTGTAAGGTCTCTGCTGCCAGTCAGTACCCCCATGCCCCGCCTCATGCTCAGACCTCACCTGAGAAAGAGGAAGATGGCTCGGGGCGCCTCAGCTCCATAGGCCTCGGGGCTCCTCCGTTCCAGGTAGGGTTCAAGCAACTCCAGCAGCCCCGGGTGCAGCTTCTCTGCTTCGTCAAAGATGAACGTGCTCTGTTGGCAGCGCCGCTGCGTCTCCTGCATCTGCCTCTGCAACTCCTCCTGCACAGAACATGGGGAGCTGCAGACTGAGACTGCTGTTTCCTCAGCCCTGGTGCTGTGGAATACCTAAGTCTGGGCTCCACCCACCACAATGACCAAACCCGGGCTTGGGCCCCACCAGGCCGCCAAGCTTCCCAGGTGGTACTCCCTGTTCTTGGGCTCAGCATCCCCACCTGGGATAAGGACCAGTGCTGGAAAGTTCTTGAGAGAAGCCCATCTGCCCACAGAACAAGCACCAGCCAGGTGCCTTCTCCAGGACTAAATAAGTCCCATCCTGGAGCTAATGACCACCTTACCCTCCCCAGGGGCATGGGCTCAACCCGGGAGATAGAGAGGAGAAGGCTGCCAGTCACTTTCCCTTAGCCTCTCAGAAGCAGGGCGCCTACACTGGGTGGCATCTCAAGACAGCCAGCCTCCTCTATCTTGGTGCACAGACTATATGGGACTTGAGGGTTACCACATGGGGCACCCACAAGAAGACAATGAGCTCTCCACCAACATGAGCTTTATGGTGCTCTTATAGCTGGGCACAGCTGCTTCTCGGGCAGCTCAGCAAGTCTGCACTCCCTGTCCATCTCAGCCTTCTTGGCATCTGCGTCCCTTCAACACTCCAGCATGTGTGTGCTGAATGTGTGTGTATTTCAGTATTCTAGTGGGGAAGCTGATATCCTCAAGTGGTTTTGCTGCAGCCAAGACCAGAGAATTTATCCTGGGAAAGCTCAGCAGTCGGCTGTCTGACACTAGCTTATCTGCGGCTGAGGGATGCCCAGCCCGTGCCCTCCAAGGCCAAACTAAAATTACCAGGTGACTCAGGCAAGCTGTGCCCTCAAGGCTGACTTAATCTTCCCAGTTTATACACTCTCCAGTCCTACAGTTGAGAGCCAACATGGGTGCGGTCACGGCTGTTTGCTCATTGTCAGGCTAATTTTACTACCTGTGTAAGTGATAACCTCCAAATAGTAAAACAACAAAGGAGGGTTCAATCCCTCGGCTTGCTGGTGTGTAAGGAGAACTGGGAACTCACATGCAATATGATGTGATGATACCACATGCCTTTTAAAAGCGGCTGGCACTGTAGCTAAGCAGTAGACTGCTTGCCTAGCATGCTAGGGCCTTCAGTTCAATTTCTAGCACCACATGTTTAAAAAATGAGCATAGCGCATGCCTATGATCCCAAGACTCGGGAGACTAAGTCAGAAGGGTTAAACTATCGTTGAAAAAAACCCTCAGAGCCAGGTGAATCTCTTGTGAGTTTGAAGCCAGCCTGGTCTATAGAATTGAGTTCTAAGACAGCCAGGGCTACACGGAGAAACCGTGTCTTGAAAACCAAAAAAGAAAAACAAACCCTCAAATTGTTGCTTTCATTATTCAAATTTCCCAGTTTGAATCCGGGCAATTGTGCTTGTAAGGCCCAGCCACGAATCCACAGCCCAGCGTAAACATAGGGAAAGTCAAACAGAACCGCACAGAATGTGCCCCTTTCTGTCTAATAAAACTACAGTGGCTGGACCTGTGTCAAGCTAAGGAGGCTGTGGCCTTTGGGGAGGGGATGGTAGAGTTTCTTCCTTAGACATAGACAGGATCTCTTTGTGCAGCCCAGGCTGGTCTTGAACTCAAGATCTCCCTGCCTTAGTCAATGAGTGTTGGGATTATAGGCATGTGCCACCACACCCAGTCACATTTCACTATTCTTAATACACTCAGCCTCTCCCCAGCCCCGCTGTTTGAGTCTGTTGGTGCTGTGCCTTGCCTCCAGTGTGCAACTGTCACGGAAACAGTTCTAGAAGGTTCTGGAAACATGTTTTCTCTCCAGGAGCTCTGGGCTGCCTCTGTGGAAGGGAAGGGGATGGATGTCTGTCACAGCTTCTGCCCCCATCCTGTGCTAGGCTGCTCTAGAGCCCACCTCCTTTAGTCAGGATCTCCTCTCAGCCCAGGAGCCTCACCCGTGCCAGGTCAGTGGAGCTACCCCGAACTACAGCCTCACCTTGTACATGTCCACATACTTGGGGTGTGGAAAATGGAAGGTAGAGATAAACATCTTGACACAGTCACTCCTCATTCCGTCCCGATACAGGTTGTCCACCAGCATCCTTGCCACGAAGTTCTTGCCTGTGCCAGACCAGCCATGGAATGACAGAGCCAGGGCCTTGCTTACTTGGGGCATCTCTAAGTAGCCCTTTACTGCTCTTAGGACCAGCTTGCTAGCGAGATGCTGGCCGTGAAGTCGCACACGCAAGTCCGATTCTAAGCCTAGGGGAAAAGAGGTCCCGGTAAGAGGCACAGGGGCGCGTGTGCACCACCTCCCCTCTACACCCCAGGATTTCTACAGTCTGATCCTTGTGGCCTCAGAGCAAGAAACAAGAAGGCAAACCTCCCAGCAGATGATATTCTGTTGGAATGACTTACACTCACCCTTATTGTATCAAAGAGCTAGGTGGGTGCACCCCTGGATAGTCAGCTGTTCATTGCTGTGCAGACAGTGCTAAGTGCTGGCAGGATATTTGGTATTGTCATTTCTATGGCCCATTATCTGTATGTGTTTGTCACTTCCTGCCCAAAGAAGAGGAAAAAGCAAGCTGCTATGGGGGAGGTCACCGAAGGTCACACTGCCCTCAATCTGGCCAAAAAAGCAACATTTAAGATATGGGCTGGACATAGTCCTGCTGTGCCAGTGACCTTCCTGGCATCTATAGGATTTCCAGATCTGGAAGGCCAAGGATGGGGGAGCAGACAGGCCCGGAACAGTGATGAGCGATTTCTGAGGTCAATACTACTGACAGAGCAATACTTAATTATCTGGGGCTGGTAAGAACGCCCAGTGAGAAACTCTGGGCTCTTTTAACTCTTAAGTGTATACACATGTAGACAGACAGACCGACATTTATACACACTCTGTATATACAGACATATATACATACTCTGGCCCAGCCCAGCCGCCTGATTCAGTCAACAGTGGAAGCCAAGTGGACGAACGCAACGGCGAGACATCGGGTTTAGTTAGAAGGTAGCTGAGAGACTGCCCCAGCAAAAAGGCCAGCATCCTTAAACTATATAGATGGCAATGCATCTTTATTATTAAACCACAAGTAATATAAGCCCCTCAGTAATATTAAACAACTGTTTTGGAAGAATTTGAGAAATCAAGATTGAATTCTGGGAGAACAATGGACAGACAGACCAATGTGGACGTACCCCGGCAGACTTCAAGGTGCTCCCACCTCTTCTTCCAGAGTTCATGTTCTCTGTCTGTCATTCCATCCCAACCTGGCATAGACTTGAGAGCAGCTTCTCAAAGCCAGGCCTGCTTTCCTTTTCCCATTGAAGAAGCACAGTTTGGAGGCAGGGAGGCTGCGCTGCCAGTTCGGGTAAGGCACTGGCCATTACCGTATTATCAACACCAACTGACTAGGTACCCTGAGCCAATCTGGAGGGAATTCTGGGATACTGGCAGATGATAGACTACTTTAAAATGCTGCCATCACTTTGCTTCCTTTCAAAACCATTGGTGCCACAAAACTGACTCTTGCAGCTGTGCCCCTGTTGTCAGAACCAGACTGCTTTAGATTTGGTAGCCAGGTCTGAAGAACAGTTGGTTGTCTAAGGAGAGAGCAGCGCTAGCTGGGTGTTGGTGGTGCACGCCTTTAATCCCAGCACTCAAGAAGCAGAGGCAGCCGGATCTCTGAAAGTTCAAGTCCAGCCTGGTTTACAGAGTGAGTTCCAGTACAGCCAGGGCTACACAGAGAAACCCTGTCTCAAAATCAAAACAAACAAACAAAAAACAGAACAGAGAGGGAGAGAGAGAGGGAGAGGGGACCTGCTGTAAATCTTCATTCAGACTTCCTGACCTGTATGTAGCCTGAGATTACACTCTGTGCTAGACCCTCCTTCAGACTCAGAGTCACTGATGGTCTGCCCATCTTTCCTTCCTTCCTTCTCTTTCTCTTTGTGGGTGTGTACGTGTTCCTGTATATGTATGTGTAGGGATTGCACATGCATGTGCACACTACTGTGGAGGCCAGAGCTTCACATCAGGTAATCACCATCTTGTTTTTTAAACCAAGGTCTCTCATTGAATCCAGAGTTCCTGTTTAGCTAAACTGACTGTCAAGCCCAAGGACTATCCCAGTGGGTGTGCATGAGTGTGCCACTCACCTGGCTTTGACATGGGTGCTAAGGTTTGAATTCAGACCCTCATGCTTGAGTGGTACGTAGTACACTGACTGAGCCACCTCCTCAGCCCCACTGGCCTTTTTGTAAGTAAGTAACCTGATGTCTAGTTTGTGCTTCAGTGTAACCGAGATGCAAGAGGCAGGACAGGCGAATACCAAGCAAAGTCCAGGTGAGAAACTACTTCTGGGGAAATTGGTAAATTTCATGAAGGACTGAACCACTGGGCCTTTTTCTGACTGATGCTAAATACCACACTGCAGAGTTAAACACAAACCACCTGCAACCCTCACTAGGCAACCTTATGAATAAGAATAGAGAAGGGGAGGGTTAGGAAGCGGTGATTCATATGCATGCAGCTCGCTGGGTGTGCATGGGGGCTCTCTGGCAGGGCAATCTTTATGCATGGAGTGGTATGAATTAACTTATAATGGAAAACAACTTTCTGTTTCTCTCAGGAAGCAGAGCTCCTCCTCCCTCCGCCATAACCTTACTCTATCAAGATATACAAACCAAGAAGCCCAGATTATACCCCACAGACCTTTGCTGGTTAAACCTCCAGACAGATGTTTCTTTTCTCGAGACTGGGTCTTTCCACGTAGCCTAGGCTGAGCTCATATGCACGGTCTTCCCACCTCAGTTTCCCAAGTGCTAGACCACAGGACACCACACCCAACTAGAAAGGAACACTGTGTGTTGTATGTGTGTGTTCCTGTGGGTGCACATGTATGTATGCACCCAGGGTCAACATTAAGTGTCTTCCTTAATCATACCCACCCCAATTTTTTTTTTTTTTTTTGAGATATGGTCTCTCTGGACCTGTTGCTCATCAGTTTGGCTGTGACTAACAGACTTCAGGAAGCCACTGGTCTCTGCCAACACTGCAGTGTTCGACAGGTGTGCCCAACTTTTATGTGGGTGCTGAGGAGCAGAACTCAGACTCTCATGCTTGCCCTGTAGGCCCTTTGCTAATGATCATACCATTTAAAAAATTCTTTTTATTTAATTATATATATAAATATATGCATGTGGTCTTGGGTTTCTGTAGCTGAGTGCAGCCACCTGCAGAATCCAGAAAAGGGTGTCAGACCCCCTGGAAGTGGAGTTGTAGCCAGTGGTGAGATGCCTAATGTGGATAGTAGGAATAGAACTTAGGCTCTCTGTAAAAGTAGTGCTGGCTCCTAACTACTGAGCTGTCTTTCCAGCCCTAAGGGACATTTTAACCACAATTATTGATCAGTTTTCTGGCCTCATAATCTCTCCTAGCATCAGAGAGATTGCTTCCTATTCCTGTTCTAACACTCCCGAAGGAGGCAGGCTGTGTCAGATTCTGACTCAGTCACTGCAGAACCCTTAGCACAGGGCCTGGTACACAGTGGAGCCAACAGAGATGAACGGTTCTTCCTCAGAAGATGTCCCTCAGCCATGAGTGTAGGGACATCTTCAGTCTAGACTGAGAACAGAGAGTGATCCAGAGCCTGCACCTTACAGTGTCTCCTGCCAGCCGTCTTAGCTGGCTGTAACATGTTCATGGGTCCCATGGATCCCAAGAAGCTCTGCACCTTTAAACTAAAGATAAAAAATGTCCCCGGCACTGGGGGCACCATGATTGGGGTTGGGAGTAAGGTAAAGGGCCTCTTGCTCTTGATCTAAGTATTTCCATACTCTAAAAACAAACAAACAAACAAAAACAAACAACAAACCAAGCAACAACAAAACCCAGGAGGGCTGGGGATGGAGTACTTGCCTAGCTCTCGAGGACAAGTGTTATGAAAACAGCCACATAGCAAGGATTTGGGCACTTGTTCTTAGGTGATATGATGTAATGTCCATTAAGGACACTATCAATGCTGGTGTCGTGTCGTTCCTATTGTTGGAGTGTCTTTTCTGGAAATCATGAAGTTCAAAGTCTTGTCAGAGAGACCCTCAAATAATTGTAGACCCAACTTTCCTCTTACTGGAGGAGGGGGAAATTGAGGGGGAGGTTTCTCACCAGTTGCTTCTCGGTAGTCATCAATCCCCTTCCCCAGATACCTGAACCCTGAAAATCACGTTAGTTCCAACCTGTCAAGTTGTTGGAGATCCTGCAATCCCCACCGCTGCAGCAGTCCTGAAAGCGGCAGATCCACGCAGTGAGCATATCCAGCGACCGCCGGCCCCATAGAGGAAGGCTCCAGCCTGGAAAGGAAATGCTATGAAATAGCAAGATAGTGATGAGAGAAACCGTTCTGAGGTTTCTCAGTGACAGCGCTCAAACCAGAGTTCAGGTCCCAACTCACAGGCAGGCTCGCTCCTGTGCTCCAGCGCTTCCTCTCTAAACCTTAACCGAAAGTTCGATCTGGGGTTGGGACAATCACCCACCAAGTGTGTCTACAAAGAACTTCCCCTAAGGCACCGTCAGTAAAGTGGGCAAGAACGGGGAGGCTTGGGTGTCTAGAGAAATCAGGGCAGGTGAGGGGGCGCAGAACAGCCAGACCTCTCGTTGTCCCTAGGGGCTGCACCAGGAGACGTGCGGCGGTGGGGTACAGTGCAGGCCTCTGACTATATGCAGGATACAGTGCTTAAGAGTGGAGAGATGGCTCAGCGGTTAAGAGCACCGTCTGCCCTTCCAGAGGTTCTGAGTTCAATTCCCAGCAACCACATGGTGGCTCACAACCATCTACACTGGGATTGACGCCCTCTTCTGGCAGGTAGGTATACATGCACATAGAGTACTCATACATAAAAGCATATAAATACATCTTTAAAAGAAAAAAAAAAGTAAAAAAGTTGAGACTGGCAGCTGAGCGAGGGGTTGGCGGCGGGACCGCTCTTACCCAGCGGCGGCACGGGGGTCTCGTGGTCTTCACAGTGATCGGGCCACAAGGTGCAGCTGAAGAGCGTCCAGTACCGTTTGGAGAGGGCCCCGGCCGTCCTCAGCTGCTCCTGCAGGCGTTGGATGCTCGGCCAAGGGGTGGGTTCGTCGGCCTCCTGCCCTGAGCTCGTGGCACCGCGGCGGCCCTGCACTCCCGGGGGGCGCAGCGGCAGGAGCAGCAGCAACCAGAGAGCACCACGAAACAACATGACCGGAGCGAGCGCTTCCGCCTCAAAGAGTCCGGGGACCTGGGGCTCATCGACACCCGCCAGCAGGCGCGGCCCAGGATTGGCGTCGCCTTGGTGACCGCCCCGCCCTCACGGAGGCTGACTCAGCTGCCCATCTGACTGAAACCCAGTTTCGGTTCAGACCAGAGACCCGTCCGAACCGGAACTCAAACTGGTGTCCCGGACTGCAGGAATCCCCAGACCGACTTGAGCCCCTGTCCACCCCACGGGATGCAGGCTATTCTGGGGCATGCCTGTGCCTCAAGTGGCCACAAAATGGCTACTGCCAACCATTCAGCTGTGCCTCCCACATAAGGAGTCCCTTTGGTGCTCTGTCCTTGTAGGAGGTCAGCTTTCCGCCAACCCGACAGGAGGGTGATGAAACCGTCTAAGCAGGGAGCGTTTTGTTGGCAGGGGAGTCAGCTGGGTGCAGAAGCAGTCCTTAGAGTGTGAGCAGTCTCGGAGAGCTGGGTGGCCTTGGTCGCTCCTGGTCCTCTGAAGAGGAAAACGAAACAGCAAGCAGTCAGCAGTAAAGGCTTTCATGGATGCCAGCCCAGCAGAAGCAAGAAGTAGAGTCGGGAGGTATTTGAGTTCTGGAAACCGCCAAGTTAAGAGGAAATTGTATCATGAGAGAATTACAGAAGTTAGGCTAAGTACTTGCCCACTCATAGCTGGGTTTACAAAGCTGAGCAGATGCACGTGGCGATGTAGGCCTTAGAACCCAGGAGGCAGAAGCAGGCACAGCTCTGAGTTCAAAGCTAGCCTGGTCTACATTCTGAGTGACAAGCCAAGCTACAGCTACACAGTGAGACCCTGTCAATATTGAAAACACACCAAAGTCCCCGGCTTGGCATCAGAGGGGAGGTGGTGGAAATCAGAAATGAGTCCTAGTGGCGGGGAGGTCTTTGGGTTATTGGGGTGGGGGAATGTTCTTGAAAGAGAATTGTGGGTGAGTTTTGTTCTACTAATTGCTCCTGACACGATGCACACTGCCCACCTTCCCCAGGGGTAAGTAGTGAACTAGACCTACAAGGTTATGAACCAACTGTTTCTTTGATAACTCTCTGGTGTTTGCCAAGGTGGCAGGAAACTGACACATGCCTTTATGCTTGTCTGTAAACACTCATTCGCTAACTATCTGAACATGCATGTCTAACATACTGATTACGAGCTTTTGTTGTTTGGATTTTTTATTAGCTTGTTTGGTTTTTGAGACAGGGTTTCTCTGTGCAGCCCTGGCTGTCCTATAACTCACTTTGTGGACTAGGCTGGCCTTGAACCCGGGGCCTGCCTCTGCCCAGGAGAGTGCTGGGATTAAAGTCATGTGCCATCACCAACAGGTCATACTGATTATCAGGAGCCCTACCCTTGCCTTGAGATATCTTGGCCTTGACTAAGAATGGATTCCCCCACCCATCTTCCCCTGAAACGAGAAAGGGTCGGGGTGGGGCCTTTCCCTTTAAACAGAGAGCTGAACATTAACGCTTCGAGCCTTGATCAGACAAAAAAAAAAAAAAAAAAAAAGGAGCCCTACCATTTTCTACTTATAGAACTTGGGGTTACCTGGCTGTTCTATACCTTGTCTGCCTCACCCACACTTCACATCCTAGAGATGCTGTGAAGAGGAGTCAAATGAATGTTTCATGCTCAGTACCTGGTTACTTTTTTTTTTTTTTTTTTTTGGTTTTTTGAGACAGGGTTTCTCTGTGTAGCCCTGGCTGTCCTGGAACTCACTCTGGAGACCAGGCTGGCCTCGAACTCAGAAATCCGCCTGCCTCTGCCTCCCAAGTGCTGGGATTAAAGGCATGTGACACCACTGCCCGGCACCTGGTTACTTTTATTTCCTCGTGTGGCAAGTATGTGCATTTACATGAAGTGTGTAAAACAACAGCATATGGGAAGACACTTGGGTGGCTTTACTTACTAGTGTTTCCTGGTGAATTATGGTGTAAATGAAGGCTCGTCTGCTGGCAGTGTGCCTGCTTATGTGCTAGCTTCAACTAAAATTAAAAAAAAAAAAGAAATACTAAAACCAACAATTTGTCAAAACAACCCAAGGTTTAAGACAGTGGGGTGACCATCTCAGCTGTGTAATCCTTATGTAGTGCTAGCAATCTCTGAGATGGTCTGAATTATCATTTCACTGCAGATAAATTAACTGGGAAATTCTAAAGAGTAACTTGATTTTTTTTTTTTTAAAAGGAGGCAGCCAAAGGAAGGCAAAGGAAACAAGTATTAAGACCTTGGGCATGTCTGGCTTTCTTCCAAGTTGCCCTTTGGAGAGGGAATCACCTTGGACCTAACTTGATTTTATTAAGGCATTCCTTTTCAAAACAAAACAACAAAAAAAATCTTGAGGTTAAGTGTTTCACCAAGAAGTTGGCCCCACATTGAAACAACAAATCCATACACCAGTGTTTAGTTCAGTCTCCAAGTATTTCTGTAAATTCGTCACATCCCGCTCTTGGGGGCTAGTGGATATAAACGCCAGGAAGAGCTCGTGGGTGGTGGGGTCATCTAGAGGCCGCTGTGGGAACTACAGGAAGCTATGAGGACTCATCAATTATTCAAGCAGTCCAAAGACCCAAGGCGATGGCATTGCCTAAGAACTTGTCATAAATGCAGAACTTGAAGTGTGGATCTCTAAGTTCGAGGCCAGCCTGGTCTCCTTGCAGAGCGAGCTCCAAGGCAGCCAGTACCACACAGAGAAACCATGTCTCAAAAAACAAAACAAAAATGTTTAAAAGCTCACGCCATCTCAAGTTTGCTCTGCTTTGCACTTATGGTTGAAAGTTTGAAGACATGGCTTCTGCTCTAGCCTCTAGATCTGTGGCCTCTACTCCACCATCATGGATCCATCTGATCTTTCTCTTCTATAAATTATCTTGGTTATGATGTTTCATCACAATAGAAAACTGATACAATCTGTATATGGTGAGCCAGAGCGCATGCCAGAATTCGGCCTCCATGTGTCTTGTTCAGATACAATGACAAGGCAGGCACACTAATGCGGCATACCCAGAGGAAATCTAAACGATGCTTGTCTGGCTGAGGGGTTAGATACTAGATTTCCATTTCAAAAATTCTGGGTATCCTAATCAGAATCTTAATCAGGAAAACTGGCTTTTTTTCTTGTCTATAGTGTACTGTGCTGCCAAGTATTTAGGATTCATAATTCTTCATCTCCAAGAAGCTACAAGAAAGGTAACTACAAAATACCCAAGAAACACTGAAAACTAGTCCTATGATGACTTGTGTGCATCAGCTACAATCTATGTGTGCCTTTCAAAAGCCTGTAAGGAAATCTAAGACTCTCACCCACAGGAAGCAGTCCCTATGGAAGGCTAAGTAGAGATAAAAGGATGTAACACTCCCTAAAAAACAAGAGGAATAGAAATGGCATAGAAAGCACATGGAGGGGGGATTAACCAGAAAACATGATACAATAATATATATTAAAATCTTTTATTTTTTTTTCAGAATTGAAACCCATAGAACACATTAGAAATCTGTTTGGTATCTTACCAAGTACAACCTCTATCTGCACAACAGCTCCAAGAGGAAATCCTAGGCAGATCAAACAGGGGGGTGGGGACCCACCCTTTAGACAAATAAATTAGCTTCCCAGTAGTTACTCCCAGCTTCCCCCAAGAGTTTACGAGGGTCACCTTAGGTCCTAAAAACCTGTGACAGTACAGTGTCCAGCCCCCACTCACCACCCAGACTAGAGAAACAAGGGGGGAAGAGCCAGCCTCCCCCACGGAGCATGCTCAGTCAGGTTACCTGCTTAGCAGGCTGCTCAGGAAATGCTTGATGTACACTCTAACCTTGACTAGCCAAGTCCTTTCCCAGGGCCAGTCACTCAGTGTTCCTTGTGTCAAAGTAAGAACATTTTCCTTGGTAGAACACACACACACGGTCACATTAACCCAAACCTCCACCTCCTATCCTGAAACCCTAACCACAGGACTCACGAGTGTGCCAACAGCAGGTGTTAGTAAGGTAATCATAAGGTAATCAGAGAGATCAAGGGAGGGAAGGGCAGAGAGGCTGAAGGAACAGGAGCAGGGGATAAGACGACATAGCATGAGAGTTTTAAAGAAAACCTGAGTTTCTTTGGATGGCAATGCTGTCTCTGGCACTGGGAAAATCGAGAAAATGTCTGGGTCCACTTTGCTGAAATAATTTGTAATGAATATAATTGAATTTCTCTATTTTCTTCTAAAAATTTAGTCTGACACTTTAACCCTGAGTGCAAACAGGGAGACATACCTTAAAAACTACCAAACATCTTCAGCAAATGAGAACCTATTGTTTCAAAGATGAATTACTTATAGCCCTCCCCAAAGTACAATGCAGCCTTAGATTAAGAAATAGTTTGAGAATAAAAATTCTATATTCAAATCTCCCCCATTCCAACTTCAGAATACATGTATTTAAGCAGTGGGAGGATGTGGAGTTCTTGGTTTTGTGTATTAGATGCGTCCATCTATGCGGATGGATGCTCAGTTGGTAAAGCTAATTTAGAGCTGACCAAACCCCCAGCACCTTGATTACAGCAGCCCTAATCTAGTAAATGACCCAAAAAGAGGCCAGAGTTACGATACTTTTAAAATATGAATCTATCTTTTTTTTCCCAACAGAACTTTGTGTTTATAAATTTGAGGCTGAGAAGCAGACAGCTGCCCCCGGCCCTGCCGCGCCGAGATTCACCTAAATGTACCTTTCCTAGCTTGATCCCAGTTAGAACACACATTTATACTCTAATTGCCGTGTCACCCTGACTCAACTCTGTCCACTGTGGCTCTGAGCACCTTTTCAAGCCGTGAGTGTGAAAGGGAGATGTCATCATCTCTAACTGCTCTGAAAGAAAAATGAGACATTTTTTCGAAGCAGCTTGTCTGCCTGTTCTCCCCAGAATAATGTTCCATCTCCACCATTACAAGTGAGGCTGCTTATCTGGGAGTTCCTACTCACTTCCCCAGTGTGTCCGCTGGAATGTTGAGCCACAGCTTAGTCAGCACTGGAGGGAGGGCTCACTACCGTCCACCCACTCTGATGGCTCCCAGCATCTGGTTCCTACTTTCCAAAGTGCTAATAACCACGCTAATCTCAAAATTCAACTGTCAATTTCCTTGATGTACACAACAAGTAGCCTGGAAACTGGACTTAATACCTCCTTTTGTTTTTGCTTTGTTTTTTGGGTTTGGTCCTAGAACTCACTCTGTAGACCATGCTGGCCTTGAACTCACAGAGATCTGCCTGCCTCTGCCTTCCAAATGCCAGGACTAAAGGTGTGCGCCACCACTGCCTGGCTCGACATCTCCTTTTGTTAACGCTATTTTAGTGTTTTGTGCTATATTTGTTTTTTTAAGTTCAATACCCCGAATTTAAAAAAAAGAGAAATATGCAGTATATTCCTTAATCTACCTCAAAGTGTACATTAAATGTACAAAGTCTCCTAATTTCATGCCACTTAAAAGTGGTTACAGGCGACTAGGTTTTAATGTGAGGAACTGGGGGGTATGAACCCAAAAGGTAGCTGCCTCAGGCCAGGCTCTGTGGCTGGCACTAAATATCAAGCACAGTGCTGACCGGCTAGTCCTGACAGAAGTCCAGAACAGGACAAGATGTAGAGGGAATGCACAGTCTGAGTGCAGCCACTATCCCAGACACATCCCCCAGCTATGTGGCAGCTGCTCACCTATCAAATGACTTGCCAGAACACAGAACCAACCCTGACTCTGACACGGAGATGGAAGAATTCTACTACACCACGGGTTCAGAACTCCAAATGGGACCGAATTTGGATTAGATATGAACCAAACTATTAAGGCTCTTTGCGGTGATCTCCTCAGTTTCAAGGCTCAGAGGCCTAAACATTTTCACTCTGTTATCTGCAGGGCGCACATCACAAGCTTAGTCTATCCACCAGGACACTTTCTCCTAAGAAAGGCACAGACAAAGCTGCCAAGCTCCTAGGAACAGCGCCGTTACAGGCATTCACCTCACAGGGTGTGAGTTCACTTTAGAAGAGAGAGCTGGGCATGTTGGTTCATACTTAAAATCCTCGAGTGTGGAAGGCTGAGGCCACAGGATTGCTGCCAGCTCAAAGGAAGCCTGGGCCATACAGTAAGTCCCAGATCAGCACGGGCTAGAGTCTACCTCAAAATAAACAATGCTACTGAGAGAAAAAGAAAAGGGGGGAGGGGTGGGTGGCAGAGAGCACATTTTCAGTTTGTTTTGCTACTTTGGGAAAAGGGGGGGCATGGAGTAAATTATTGTCCACAGAGGATCACGCTTGGGTTGTCATAGTTCTAGAGATGACTGTGGTTAATGTGAACACAACCAGGAGACGACTGTTTGCTTTGGACATATCTAAGAACCTAAACAGAGGGGAAGCTGTTTTTCACTAAGTCCATTATCCTCCTGGTTCTAGAGAGTGAGTCCCTCCCTCTTTTCTTCCCTGAGATGTCAAATCCATGCTACCCAATAGCTTAGAGTCCCAAGACCTTCCTGCCCTGCCCTTCCTCCAATCTACCTTAAACACAGTCTCCTGGAGCAGACTGCTATTTTGTCTGATGGCACTCTGGAGGAGCAGTATGTTTTTCAATCTGACTAGTTCTGGGTTTTGTTGTTTAAAGACGCAAGGGACTGCAAAGTGTTTTCAGAGAATCCAGAGTGTGGAGAAAGGACAGCAAGGCTAGCCCCAGACACACGCTCTGGAACCGATTCCTTAGCCAATGTCAACCTGCTCGTCCTCAGATGTGGGAATAAAGACTGAGCAGTGCTGACGCCTGCTGCAGAGAGGTGATTCTGCAGAGACGCTCGCCGAACTGTGGTCTTGAGCTTGCACTGCAGAAACCACGGAGCACTCCCAGGGCCAAGGTCTTCTACCACCAGTCCCACAGTGGCCACTCGAAGGCCACCACATGCCATTTGGAATTGATTGTGCTGTGTCTCTATCTTTGTAAAACTCAGTTGCCCTTGTTTTGTGTTGAGAGTTACAAGTGGGAGAGTGGCATCCTGTCTTCCACCAGCACAGTATCCATCCCAAACTGGTCAGTACACTGCTTGATGGTGGCCAAGACATTCAGAAGTCGCTGGTCCACAGAGTCCAAGTGTGGATCGGAGAGCACAGGGGAGATGGGGTCATGGGCCATGGCAGATTTTAAGGCAGACTTTAGTACTCCATTCTTTAGATAATTCAGTCTATTCCAGGTTGAAACCCGAATTCTGGAAGAAAAAGTTTAAAAAGAAATTATATAACATCTTAATATTCTATTCAGCTTGAAGCTTTCATGGTAGAAAAGGGTTTTGTTTGTTTGTTTGTTTGAATCACCTCTATTTCAGACTTGCCTCTGCATTAGAAGCTGTACTACCATGGTGTAAATTGGAGGGGGGCGGTAATTAGATATACATGAATATTTACATATAACCAATCTAAATGTCTAACAACTGAGGGATACTTCAAATTATGGCTAAGCTCTCAGGAAATACCACGCAGCCACTAAAAAGGTTTGAAGTTGAGCGGCACAGAGAAATGTCCATGATATTATGTTAGAATTGAGGAAGTTAGAGAGAATCTTTCACCCCTTGTCCTGGGGAAACTACAGTGTATGACCAGAGTGCTGAGACTGCAGGATAGAGTGAGGGCACCTGTGCTAAGTTATCCTTAGGTACTCAGGGATGATGTAACTTCACTACTCAAACGTTTCTGGAGTTTAAAAATTCTACCATTAATAAAAGAAAAACAGATTTTTTAAAAGAATATCAAGTTTTTGCTGAGCAATGATAGCACACACCTTTAATCCTAGCACTTGGGAGGCAGAAGTAGTCAGATCTTTGACTACCAAGCAAGTTCCAGGTCAGACAGGACTACCTTGTCCCAAAACAACAACTCATCCTCCACACACACACACCCCACACCCACACCCCAAAACAAAAGGAAGGAATGAAGGAAGGAAGGAAGGAAGGAGGGAGGGAGGGAGGGAGGGAGGGAGGGAGGGGGAGAGAGAGAGAGAGAGAGAGAGAGAGAGAGAGAGAGAGAGAGAGAG